CCGAAACGCTTAACAAATTCGTTTATGTAGTCGTTTAGCCTATTCGCCCCCGTCGTGTGTCCAAAACCTTAACCATTGGAATCGCCGGAGGCGTTCGTGGACCTCATTAATGTCTGGAATCCTCCGCCCAGTGGTTGCTGATGCAAGCAGGCAACAACGCCACCGGCTTCCTCCCTGCTTGCCTACACTGTAGGCAGATATTCTTCATTTTGCTGTTCTTCGTAGGCGGACGAAGCCGTCCGTCGTAGTCGATGCATGCCCCCTATACATCACTGAAAAACCATCTGACAAGCTACGAAGGCTTAGGGCTTCCGATTCATTCTAACTGTGTCTTTTCTGCTGCTTCTAGGATGCCGTGTAATTTGGGTCAGGGATGTTTTACTGCTACAGGTTTGGGGTTGTGGTCGGATCCTGGGATGAATCCTGCACACCTTAAAGGGACAACCTAGGCAGAGGTCGTGTGAACGCTTTCCTTCGGTCTGTAGTATAGACCCCTAGAGGACAATCACAAATGTGGCGTTCCCGTGCACGGAAACCAACCGACAAGAGCGCTTGGGCCTTGCAAAGTAAGCTGCTGAAGCTGCAGATTTTCTCTTATCAGGCTGTTGTCTGGCGCTCTCTCATCTGTAGCGCTCTCGCCTCATACTCTCCTCTCCGCGCTTAGTCTCTCATTCCCTTAGCACAGCCGATTAGGAAGGTGAGTGAGCCCTTAACCTGAGCGTTTTCGACGGATTCTTTTCCTTTTTTCTTTACTGCCGGCCCATTTCGCACCAATACATTCGCATTCGTGTGCAAGAGCCACACCAATGTGATCCTGGGGCATGCCTTTAAGTCATCCTTTCTTAGCTGGCTCCTCTGATTTGAGAAGCTAGAAGTAGTCTGCATTACAGATCACCCCTGCGAGCCAACGTGTAGGCGAACCATGAGTTTAGAAAAGCTACAATTCTTAATTCAGGTCGAATGCATGGCGCATAAAACGGTTATTCGACGCATAGAGATTCATCCTTTGTTCAATTTTCCAGTACACTTTATTTTACTAATCTCTTCTTTCACAAGGAAATTATTATGTGCTGGGTGGAATAGACGGTCTCGGGTGGCCCGCGCCGTGAGGCCTTTCGAGATTGGTTTTCAACCTCTGAATTTCAAGGGAGGGCGCAAAGTCCACAGAGTATGGCCCATGCAGCGGATCGCTTCTCAATGTTGTCGCATTAGGAACCGGCGTCCGAGGGCATTTACTGATTCGACCAGTTCATCTTTTAGCTTTTGATAATTATGATTTATTGTTTCCAGAATTCAGGCGCATTTTTGAGCCCTAATTGTGGTCACTGCTGAATTTTGATCCAGAGCTGTTAAATTTAATTCATCCTCCAAAGAAGAGTCCCAAGATAAGGTCAAAAGTCGAAAAACGGGAACATACCGAACAGAAGGGCAAACGGTCTCTCCTTGCCCCTCCTGAGGTGCGCGTTTTGTAGCGGAGGGGATTTCCCAAGAGCCGTACCGGCGACGCTCACAACGCTACACGCCCTACCACTGACCACACCTCTCGCCGTCGAACGCTAGCCATTTAGCAAGGGCGCAGAACAAAGCGCTTACTTTGATGACGTCATCACCAGAGAGACGAATGAGGCTTCCCTCATGCGAACTAAAGGGGCAAAACGGGGTACCATTTCTTGGGTTTTGAGCCGTTTTTCTTGATTTTTCTTCATCTCTAACCGACACCACCTCTGTCTTGATTTCTGATGGGCTGCCATTTTATCGTGAACTCCGTCTTCAAATACTAGCCGGTGTACTCCATGGATTCCATCAGTCCCCTGCTGCCATGGTGCTACTGGGAGAACCGCTCCGATATTCTACATGTTGACGCAGTCTAAATTTCCGCCCTCTTCTGCAAAGTCTTGTGAGAATTATTCGTCAAGAGCGGTATCGAGTGGCGAAAAGAGCAAGAGCTTTTGCTTTTTCCCCTTCATTTTAACGCGTTGTCCTTGGAATTCGATTCTCAAGCGTGTCCGAGGGAAATGACGATGCCGCCTTCATATCTACGCGCACGCAACACACATACTCATATTGCTTTCTCATTTCAGTTGGCCTTCCCGATCCACCGACGAACGTGCAAGCCGAGAACGGACCTCAGGCCGGAACGCTGCTCATTTCGTGGACGCCAGTGAAGAATCAACCAAAACCGCCCTCGCGAGCCGCCGTCCATTCGTACCTCATCTACGCTGACGGCAAGAACATCGCCCAGGTGCCTTCTGCCACAGGTGAGTACAGCTTTGTCGAGCTTTTGTCACGATCTTCATCTCGTCATTACAGCTGACCACGTTCTGCTGCGACTAGCCGATCTCTCGGACGACCCGCCCATCTTCATTACCGTCCGCACCCGAACGAGAGAGGGCGCCGTTTCCTGTGATTCGAACGTGGCTCGCGTGCCTCGTGGACCGTCGTTTGGTGCCATTTCTGACGGCCTACTACAAACAGCGCCTCTGCTCGACATGGCTCAATCGTTTCCGACTGGCCACTTTGTCGCACCTCTTTCTGGACCGCAGAATGCACCGTACACTGCCCCGCCAATGCTCACTTCAATGCCCTTTCAAGCCAATCCACTTTCTTCGTACACTGCCTCAGCAATTCAGGGATACAATAGTTTAGTCGGTACCGATCGAATCGGGCCAGCAACTCTAGGCGCTCAAGCGATGGCTGCCGGAGGCACGATGCCAAGCGCCGCCGGTACTCTACCGTCCACCTCGATGCCGATGTCAGGGATCGGCGCTGGTGCCACTCTTTCAGGTGCCATGAATGCCTCTGGTACGTTGCCGATGTCGGCGGCCCTCGGCCCCACCTCGATGGCAAGCGGTCTATCTGCCGGAGCACAGGCAACGTTGCCTAAGGTGAGCTGATTTTCTGACAAATGCACTTGGCCATCTTGTAAGCTGGGCACAGGCGGACTCATTATGCGCATAGTAAATGTGGTGCCCTTGTCGTTTGATTGGAGCTATATGCAGACAGCCTACTCATTTGTTCCGAGTCATTTCCCCAGTCGCTTAATGTCTCCTGCGGTCCGCTGACGCAACATTCCACTCTGCAGAACTCTACTTTCACTCAAACTTTTCTATCATTCTTTCTTAACAAACCATCTAATCATTTCTACAGATTAGGGACAGGTGAGAGCGCAGAGAAATAGAAATGTGTCTGCCTCCCTTAGTGGGTAATTATGATACTATGTAACTGGAACGCTGTAAAACATGGCCAACGCTAATGAGCTCGTCGAAGAAGGACTTTCTTGACTGCGCCGCACTCTTTTCTTTTGTATGATTAGTTGCAACGAAACGTAATTCATTTTAGTGGAAGACATCTCAGATGAAGCAGTACTACACGTTTCATCCTCGGCTGATTCGAGGCGACGGTACGAGCGTCGACGAACCTCGGCCGTCCGTCCCCGACATGGAGAACAGGTGCTACAAGAGTCTCTGATGTCGCCTCCAATATTTATGGTGGACTCTGTTATCTTACTCTTTCCAGTTATCTGTTACGACATCGACACTCCGATTGGGGAGGCCATTCCGAATGGGCAGGTCCGATGGACGCTCGAATGCGAATCGAAGCCTACGCTCGGCAGGGCACTCGAACCGGCAGCGCTGAAGATCGACCTCCTGCAAGACATAGGTATCGATTTTGCTTGGTGGACAGCTCAGTCATGGAGCTGTTCATTCTCATGGTCTCAACATTTCTTGCGTCGTGGGACTAGAAAATGGCCATACTGGCCAATTACCACCGACAACCCTTCATTATTATCAGAAAAACGTATCAGTTGTTCGGGAAAGATTGGTCGGCCTTTCAGGACACACATCCAGAAAAAAAGGCAGACGATTCTTGTTGTTCTGTTCACTTAGTTGTTTCGTGCCTTCCATATGGAAGGGAAACAAAAAGGAGAAAATTATAGAGCAGCGGAAGATTACGCACTAACAAAGGAGGTCTTGAGCGAAAGTGGCTGTAGTGGCAAGTGGCGCTGCTTACCACGCGCGCGGTCCGGGGATCGAATCCTGGGTCGTGAGTCGCCCGGGCCAACCAAGCCTTCCATCCCTCCGGAGGTCGGTTAATTGGTACCAGACTTGTCTGGGAGGATAAAAAGTGCAACTTGTTCAGAGTTTCTTCAGTACGACGCATCCAACTGCGGAACCTCTCACAGTACCGTCTGCTTTGCTATCGAAAGGTCTACAAACGCCACTTTTCGACAACACCAGGCCTTCCTCGAATTCGTAACGGGACTGACCTGGCAGTACATCGGCTGATCCCCGCAGGTCCTTGTATAGGCCAAATTCCATTCAACTGCCACTAGAATGTATAAATGGAAGTAGAGTGCGTGCCGCATCCCAGAAGAGAAGGATCAGCGGCTGATGCTTCATCC